GGGCCCGCTCGGCCGCAAGCGGAGGCTGCTCCCAGCACGGCTGCCCGGCCCGGCCAGGGTCCGCGGGGGGAGCGGGAGCAGGCGCAGGCACGGTGCCCGGCGGGCACAAGCACTGGGGAGCCACGGGGTCCTGCACCACGGCCTAAAACTGAAAGGCGAGAGAAGACAAGCGGCCGTCAGTCCCTGCCCACAGGCGCTCCTCCGGCCCTGACCCTCCCTGTCACCAGGGAGAGAGGCGGAGGGTGGCCGCCGTTCACAGAGCTCCAGCCTCAGCTTCTCCTGCTGCCTCCCCCAGGGACTGGGTGTCCCATCGCAGCAGCCAGTGAAAGAGCCACATCCCCCATAGCTGCTGGCCATCCCTGACCGCACTCTGGGGGTCTCAAAGCTGGCACTTCACAAACAAAAGGGGTGTGAGCACTCCTGGGCATCCTCCCCCCCCCATCCCCAAGAGCAGAACGTCACCACCATCCCCACAGATGGGACGGAGAGGCTCTGGGCACAAGGTCCACCCTGGCTTTGAGCCCCACACTCCACTCCCAAAATAAGGGACCCATCTCCTCCCGGTTCAGAGCCTCACATTCTTGAGGAACTCCTCTGCCACGATGCGGGCCCTGGCATTGACAGAGAGCTTCATCTCGCTGATCTCCTTGTCAATTTCCTCCATGAAGTGGATGACAAAGTCCACCAGTTTGTGCTTGTACATCTGCTCCGTGTGGAAGTTTGTGATCAAGAAGCTGATGTCGTAGCCCTGGGGAAGAGAGAAGTGCCCTGGGGATGAGCACCCAGACCACCCACCATGTGATCCCACATCCCAGTTCCACACTAGAGCCCCATCCCAGTGCCAGCAGCTGCTCTGCCCCCTCCTTGCCACTTCACCTCCACGGGCTTCCTGCGCAGGATGAAGAAGTTCTCAGCCCTCATCATCATGAAGCGCATGAATTTGTGGCACAAGATCTTCTCGATCTCGTCGGCCTGGGGAGAGGAAAGGGAAGTGAGGCTTCCCCCACGCCAGGCGTGAGCTGCCGGCCCACTGCCTGCACCCCCAACCTCACCTGCTTCACCGCAATGCTGACGCGCACGGAGTTAATGGACCCCTCGATGAGGACCTTCTCCTCTGCTGATGATCAGCTGCTGCAACAGCAGCTCTTTGCTGCTCCTGTGAGCAGAGGAAGGGCAGGACTGACTCAGAAACAAGCATCTACTGGTCAGAAATGGAGATGGGGAGCACAAAAGCGGGGAGCCATAGGGATCACAGAGATGTGGAGGTTTTGCTTCACACTGCCATATGCTGGTTGTACATCCCCAAGGCGGATCCCAAGCTAGATCCCCCTTTTCCATGTAGCTCCTCGGCTCCCTGCTGGCACCAACCCTGTGACTAAGGGGCAGCAGGTGATGGCTGCAGAGGCCTGCCCCGCTGCACCCGGGCTGCCCAGCGAACCGGCACGTACCGGCAGCACCGCGGCAGGGAGCGGAGC